TTTTTTTTTTTTTTTTTTTTTTTTTTTGGTGGTAGTCGTTCATCTAAGAAAGTGATATGCTAAGTATGCTAAGGAGAAAAGTGGTTCATTTATGTACGTGCCAATTCAATAATTGCTTTTGAGTAGGCAGTCAAACGGAGACTAAGACTAATAAGGACTCTGCTATTACTGAGATAGCACTGAAAGAGGAATGCCCAAAAATATAAAGATCTTTTGAAGTTAGGGGACTTGAATTTTGACAATGGGTTATCATCTGTAGTTGATGATGGTGCTAATAAATGTGGAAGACATTTGCCCACATATTTATTCAAAATGAGTTTAAATATTTGCTTCCTGAGAGTATCCAACGTAACATAAGTAAGACAAAAAAATAATACAGTAAGTTGCTTTATCAAAAGAACTGTTGCTCTGTCCGTGTAACAACAGCTTCAGTCTCAGAGTAAAGGGGAAGGGCTGACAGGTGAGAGAAGAGGCCTGGAAAGGTAGAGAAAATACCCTGCTGAGCCCCAGGGAAAAAAAAATCTGTATATCTTTATTTCTAGCCTGGAGAACAGGAGGCTCAGGGGTGACCCCCTCACTCTCCACACCACTGAAAGGAGGCTGCAGCCGTGGGGCTCGGCCTCTTCTCGCAGGCAACCAGTGACAGGACAAGGGGACACAGTCCCGAGTGCAGCAGGAGAGGCTCAGGAAGAGATGTCAGGAAGGCTGTCAGGAAGAGATGTTTCACAGAAGCGGAGATCCGTGGGCTCCCGCGGCCAGGCGCAGCCGCCGTGCCGGAGCGGCTCAGGGGAGGCTGGAGGTGCCATGGTCTACTCGGCAAGGCTGCTCATGGTGGAACTCGCCGACCACAGAGGTCTTTCCCAAACTAATGGAATCGGCGCTTCTGTGATGTCATGCTAACCAAGAGCAGGGATCATTACCCTCCTTGCCATCTGTCCTTTCCCCTTTTCCGCAGCCTCAGGAATTAAATCGCCGGCCCCCTGGGACCGGGGTCCCGAGGCTCGGCGCGCACTCTCGGCGCTGGATTGGTGCTGCCTGCGCCGCGCGCGCCGCGCTAGTCTCGCACCCCCCCGCGCCGTCGTAGCCCCGCCCCGCCCTTGCCCCGCCCCTGCCCCGCCCTCGGCCCCGCCCCCTCTGCGCCCGCGCCGCTCCCGCGCCGCCCCCCCCGGCAGTGCGGTGCTGCGCCGCGAACATGGCGTCGGAGGGGATGATCCTGACGAACCACGACCACCAGATCCGCGTCGGCGTCCTCACAGGTACCGGGCCGCGCCGGGCACGGCGCTGGGGACGCGCGGGGGGCGGCCGCGGGTCGGTGCGCGCCTCAGGCCGCCCCGCGGGGCGCCCCGCCGGCCGTCTGTCTCTGCCGTGCGGCGCCGCCGCCGCTGCGCAGGGAGCGCCCCTCCGCCGTGCGTGTGGTGCCCGAAGCCCCGAGCCGGGGTCGGGGCGTGGGGGCGGCGCTCCGGCCGCCGGCGGACGGCGTGAGCGGGGCCGGCCGGCGCTGGGCAGAGCCGCCGCAGGCGGGCGGGCGCCGCAGCCGCGGGGACTGACCCGGGGATAACCCGCGCGAAGGGGACGGAGCGCGCGGGTGGGCGAATGCCGGCGGGGATGGGGCCGGGACGCGGCCGGGCTTCCTCCGAGCGAGGCGGAGCCGTGAGTGCGAGGGCGCTGGAGAAGGGAGCCCGCGGCCGGCGCGGGCTGCGGGCCGGCGGGTGCCGGGCCTGCCTTCCCCGGGCGGGAGGCGGCCTCCGCTCCCGGCCGCGGGAATGCCCGGGCTCGGCACGCTCCGCACGGCAGCTCCTTTGGGATGGCTCCTTCCCCTCCCCCTCCCTGGCATTTACTTTGGGAATTGGGAGGGGGTGGGTGGGGATGCTTGTGCCTATGTGCTCTCTGTTGGGAGGGGGAGGAGGGCATTTATGATGCTGCTGCTCATAGCGCACGGATGATCCCTTAATAAACCCGTGGCACATGACCTGCGGTGGCTGCACAGAAGGGCTCCCGGAGCCGGTACGGGTGTGACAGGCTGGGGGCTCCTTTGCCGGGCTCTCGGCGGGCGCCCCGGTGCCCCGCGGAGCTCGGCGCGGCGGGGGACGCGCGGCGCGCCCAGGAGCGGAGCCACGAGGCGTTCCGGTGTACACGGGCGTCAGCGCCGCTTCTGTGCGAGGAGCGGGCGAGAGATGTCGGCGAAATTCTTAGACGTCAAGCTCAGTAGGTTTCACCGGGAGCCTGGGAAGACATGACTGTTCATGGAGAGCAGCGTTGTGAGCTCGCTTAGGAGTAGGAGGATGCTTGGAGTGGAAGAGGGGACACTGACGGGAGAGGAGGCCTGGAGTTTTAACCCTGAAGTTATTACCGGTAGCGGTGTTTAACCCGAGCGGCACGTTGGGAAGCGGCCCGAGCCCGCGGGAGCCCCCGCCGCTGTTCCTCTGCCGGGTGCTGATCCCGGTGCCGGGAGCCAGCGGTGTCGAGAAGGCTGGAGCCCTTCCCCTCCTTCCCTTCCTGGGAAGCGCTTGGCCACAAGGTGATTTTGTGACGATAAACCGCTAGAAAAACACGGTGAAATCCTTAGCGTGCTTTTAAATTCTAGGCAGTCAGATCCTTAATATGGGCAGAGCATTTTGGACCAGATGCAAAAGTCACATGGGGGGGTTTGCTCCCTTTGTTCCTGAAGGATAGGATATGTGTGCCACTACCTATTATTGTAAAAGTCAAAGTGGGGAGTGCCAACAGTATGCATATTTTTCTTTGCATATTTTGTACAACTTCATGGTGTGTAACTTGGGTTATTATTTTCTTTTGATCAGAGAGTTGTAATAATTTTCACATGTAAGTGTTCCCAGAATGCAGTACCAGGCACGTGTGGTGTTATAATAATTTAAATAATGATTTAGTCTCTTAATAGGTTCAGATAGTCTTTCAGAATACACTTATTTTGTACTGTAAATCCTGTTCGATCATTGTTAAACTCTTTTAACTTTGCATCATAATTTGTAATTTCATTAAGAAGAACTTCTGGCCTAAAACCTTTTAGGTTTTTTTTTAGAGGAAAGCCAAGAGGCATAACCAAACGGAACAGTATAAGTTTTTTTCACCTTAATGTAATTGTTTTGAATTCCAGGCTAACAATTTTTGCAAATAATTGTTTTCCCATTTTGAAAGGGGACACCTTGGTTTCTTACAATTTTCCTAGTCCCTTTCTTGTATGTGTTTGTAAACCTGAAATAAAATGTTATACAAATGTTGTGGCACATATTTGGCCAGCCTTAATTATTTTCTGCTCCAGCATCTCCTTTAACCTGGGAAGAAAATATTTGTACTTTGGGGGATTTGGGCCCTCTAGTTGTTTCTGCTGTTTCAGCTATGAAAAGACAGCAAATCAAAAAATGTACTCTTCTGATTTTTTCTCTTTATTAGTTCATAGAAATGAACTAATAATTGCTACTGTATGGAGGAATAAGTGTAGAAATGAAAAGGTTAGGTATGTGAACTGTTTTTTTTACCTTTTGGTTTGGTTTGTTGTTCGGAATTAGGTTATTTACCTTACCTTGCTTCTTTTGGCTTTTCTAATTAAGATCATAGGCATATGTTTGTTTTCTTAGCAGTATATACTTGTGTTCTTATCTGCACAGGCATACAGATTTATGCTCCTGTTAGACCTGGTATACTCAGTTTAGAAAGTAATTCATACTGCACCTTATAGTCATATTCAGATGGAATTTAAATTTACTTAGAAAGGAATAACTCTGTTGAATTAATTTGGAATAACGTTGTGTGTTTGTTTTTAAATGAGGACATATAAAAATTATTTGGGCACATTGTTATTCTTATCTGTTATAGAGGCTGATGCACATGGCTCCAGAGTATATTGAGAGTGAGTAATGTTTGTCATCAAGCTTGGTTTCATTACTAGTTTTCATCTAGAAACAAATGTGTATTTTTTCACTTGTGGCAAATTTGGACAGGTGCAGTGGATTAGAGAAATAGAAATATTGATTGTTGTTTACTAAAGTAACTTAACTGTGTTCAAATGCAAATTAATGCAGAATGTAGCACCTTGGGCTTTTTTAACAAAAATTACTTGTTAACTTCTCTTATTCCCAAACTGTCAAGGTCTTTTAGTTAAGAGTCAGTAATAAGAAGAAAGTTCATAATTAGGCCTTTTTTTCAACATGAAAGAACTGTCTTCCTGAAGTCAGGAAAAATACTTTTGTTTATACAGCATCTGTGGACATGAAGATGGCACTCATGCTTATTTTTGAGTCTCTGTATAGAAAGTTGTAGAGTTAAACTTCTTTACTGAAACAGGAGGAAATTACAAAACTGTGAAACTTGCGAACTACAGGGTTATGTCTTATGCACATAGGAAGCCTCAGGATTTGTGGATAGAAAATTGAATTCTAATCTTTGTGTGTTATCATTTCAATAAGTTTTCTAATTTTTCAAGAGTGGAACCATGAAAGTGTCATATTCAGCACCAGTGTTTAATGAAGTGTTCAGATTAATGATATTGCTCACTTAGGTTCCAAACCTAGTTTTTCCCTCTGATACCTTTAACATGTAGTGGAGGCTCATGAGCTACTAATAGAGCTTCAGTATTATGTTGTCGTGAAGTTACTTTTATGGTAAAATGCATTTTAAAAGCACCGTGATGCTAACTGTGAGATTGGGAGATTTTTGTGATGGAATAACAGAGTTGGACTAGCCATGTCCAAAGCTTTGTCATTTCAGTGTTCTGGCTATCTTCTTTTAAAAAGGAAACAGTCATAGAGAAAGAAGAAATGTGGGGTAGATAAATTAAAAAGAGGATTGGTCTCCACATTTACAGTAAAGGGCATGGTCTGTATGTACTGTTGTGTGTCAGTGCTTCCCTAGCAAAATACAAGTACAGAATTACTCTGGTTGCCCCTTGCAAGCCTTTCATGTTCGGGGTATCTCTTACAGAACAGTTGTTAATCAGTTAACCAGTGGTGTCAGGTTGCTGGACCTGGTGTACTAAGTACAGAATTTTGTAATGTTGAAGTTGGCTAGAAAAGAGGAGAAACTGTGTGCTCTGACCAGAGTTGAATCAATATTAGGTCATCCTTCACTGGTAGTGGCATTGGTAACAGTTATATAATCTGTGACCTTTCTTGTTTTGTCAGTGACTAAAGAAGACCCTTGACTGGAGCTGTCCAGAGAGTTCTGAATGATGTTGCCATCTCCAGTAGCCTAATGGAAAAAAACATACTCTGGTTCTCTCTGGCTCCTATTTTGTGCTTTTTTCCTCTCCATCCCCATTATCTTCTTATTTGCTTCTCTTCTTCTTTTGTCTCCAGTAAGCATTTAAAGTAGCTGGCCAGAACTTGAGGTTTTGTTACATGTTTGGTTTTTTCAGAATATTAGTGATAAAAATTTGTTAGGTGCTAAAGATTTTGGGTTGGCTAATACCTCTTCATTCAGTTTGTCTGCTTTTGAGGCAGGTCTGTGAGATAGTCCTCACTGTATACAAACACCATTTTCTGTCTTTGCTCTTAATTTTGTATTGTTTCTTCCTTGTTTAGGAAAAAGCTCTCAGACTAACTTTTTTTTCAGGATAGTTTTACTGTGTTCAGTATTGCTTTCAATGTGGTACAGCCTTTCCCTTTCATAAAGGGAGTAAGTGGTCTAGGCAACTTTTTCTTCAGATACATTGTTCTTCCTTTTTCCCTCTGTGTAAAAATTAAAATATTTTCAATAATAGCTGTTGCCATAAGCCTACACAATAAAGCAGACAGATGTTTCTGAATGTGTAACTCAGACCTTGATGTCCAGGTAACCCTGTGGTGTAAAAGATTGCAGCAGTGTCTGAGACTACTTAGTTGGTTGAAATGACTCGGAGTGGGGACATTGTCACTGAATGTATCACTTTGAAGCAAGCTTTCTTCTGAGATGGTGAAGCCCTTATCTACATGAGAGCTGCAACCAGAGAGGTTGCCTGGGCAGATCTGAAGTTCAGTGATATGAATGTTTTGTAAAAATTATCTTTGAGAAATATGGCAAACAAAATAGTTAGGGTATCACTATATATTGGCCAGACTGTTTTAGAAATATATAGGTTGTCTGTTTATGACTAAAATGTCATATGTCTCTTTTCTATTTTATGAGGTTCCTTCTCATGAATTTCCTCTAACTCTTCATTAATAACATTCAAGTTGCAAGATCTCTGAGCAATGGTGGTTCTGCTCATGCTTTGCAGTTAGTGGGAAACTTTATTATAGAGGTGTGTGTGTGAGGGGGAGAA